TATTGTCATTAAATAATTGTCGTTAATAACAAATTTTGTTGTAGTGAAATGGGATTAGGTTAGTTTCCTTATTCACACTTCTCATTTTTCTTTTATCATGCATTTACATTTTGAAGGTTTGGAAATTTTAGTAAATGATTAAATCCTCTTATTTATGTTAGTAGTGTTATGTTCTACAATCAAAAAGCATTAATAATGCTTTTAACCCATATATTTTGTCCTCTTTACTAATTGATTTTGACTATTTTATTGGTTATTATATTCCATTAATATAGAATTAGTGATCTACGACAAATCCTATACCAATCTTAATTGTTATAGTTAATTGTTATTGTTAGTAACAATTTATTCATGTTGGGTTAAATTATTAATTGCATTATGTTATTAGTAATTAAATGGTTACATTGAAATTCATTAAGATTGTACAAAGGTATCTATTAATTTAGTTGATGCATATTTTATTACTAAATGTATGTGTCAAATCTTGATGATTGTGAGAAACATAAAGTTTTTAAAATTATAATAATAGTTTTCTACTTTTGAGAACTTTTAAAAAAAATATTTGTCTAGTGACACTTAAAATTTTAATTAATTATTGATTAGCATAATATCTTTAATTAATTGAAATTATATATTTTGTTGCTTAAATCACAAAAAAATTGTGGAGAAAAAATACACACTATAAAAAGGGTTGAATAGTATGTATTAAAAATTCACATATTTGTGTAATGAAAAGAAAATAACTTATTAGACAAAGCATTGGAGAAGAGTTAGACAAAACACTAAGATTTTTATACTAGTTCGTCTCAACCACCAAGACTACATCCAGTTCTCAATCCAACTAAATTGAGTTTTACTAACTTCCAAAATAAGTTACAAGTATTCTTTTACCAAGTCACTTCTGGCTCAATACTAAGTAGTCTTTGACTTGAGTTTTTAAGCAACTATACAAGTATTCTTTGAACAACAAGCCTCTTTAGGCTCAACATCAAGTATTCTTTTAAACAAGCCTTTTTAGGCTCAACCCTTAAAATAAAGTTAATAGATGATTATAAGGTTGTTTCATCTCTTCTAGACATGTTGTAACCAACAATTAAAACACAAGTATTATACAAAGAAATATATACAGAATTTACAATAAGTGTTTCTTTGTATGTGAGTTTCTGCTTCGTGTATCTTGGTATGTTTTTTCTTCTCTTTTTCTTTCTTGAAGGCTTAATCCTTATATAATAGCTTCAAAGATGATGACCATTGTGGCAATTTGAGTTGAGTTACAGGATGCTTCACGAATTATTTCATTTATCTTTATTACTGATCCTAGAGATTATCGTTGCTTCATTTAATGCGAGCATTAAATGCCTTTTAGAAAAATATGTATCTTTAATCTGATCTAACATGCTACATATCATCATTTCTTTATGAAATAAGCATGGCAGAAGCAATGTTAACATAGAGTAATTAAAGTCAGCGTAGAACAATTCTTGTAGAGCCTTTTTTTGCTTTTTCCATGATTTTTGAGATTTTGCCTTTTGCTCTTGACGGATAATTTGACTTTTCCTTATTTAATAGATTTTGAGAGTTCAAAGACTTTTTCTTGTTCAATTAGTTAAGGAATAAATCATTTAATGAAATTTATTGTTAGTCTCACTTAAAAGCATACATTTAATGCATAATGAGATAGACTATATGCTTCGTCTGATTTTCTTCATCTTAGAGACGATATATATATATATCACTTTGTTTGATATAGAATATCTTGCAGATAATTCATTTTGTTTAAAAGAAAATATTAAGTATGCTGGCAGTTAGATAAAATAGAGATTCAATCATACCTCTATAGATTGTATGATCTATTGGTTTACCTGATTCGTCTTTTGACAATTCTATAGATGGATGCATGGGAGTAGGCATTGGCTTGTAATCATTCATCTTAAATTTTTGAAAAAGTTCTTTAGTATATTTTTGTTGATGAATATATATGCCTTCATCTATCTACTTGATCTATAAATTGAGGAAGAACTTTAATTATCCCATCTTACTTATCTCAAATTTAGCCTACATTAAAAATTCTCACACAACGATTTATTAGTAGCACCAAAGATAATATCATCTTTGATCTTCCCTTTTCCATTATCAAAAGACACTAAACCTTTATATGGTTGAAGGTCTAGGAACATAGAATTTTCTCCTATCATATGTCGTAAGCAGTCATTGTCCAAGTACTAACTTTAAACCCTTTCTTTTTCTCACCAAGGAGATCTACAATGGGAATAATTTATGATTTTGGTACCTAGATCTTTTATGGGTCCTTTTATGTTAGTCCCACTAGCCTTAGTCTATCCTTTTCGTCTGCCTGGAGATTTTACTCCTTTTCCACTGGCATAGGAGGTATACTTAGGTGCTTTTGGAAATGTCTTTGGGGCAGAATCAAAGCCAAGACCACTTTTGTTTGATAGAAGTCTTCTATGTCTTAATAGTATATTTATTTTTGAAGATCATTACACAAACTTGGTTAGGTCCTTCCTGAGCTGTATGTTCTTAGCCTCTAATGTTGTGATCTCAAGTGGCACATAACCAGTGATCTTGTCTTTAAGATCCTGGACTTTTTCCTCAAACCTAATTAGATTTTCCCTAAGTTCAAGATTTTCTTTTTCAAGAAGTTTTTATTTTTCTTTAAGCCTCTTGTACTTAAGAGAAATCATATGAAATTTAGCGAGCAAGGTGTCATAAGACATTTCTTTTCTTTCAGAGTCAGATGAAATTTAAAGAGTTAGACTGAAAGCTTACCTTAATATTTGTCTTAGCTTCTGCCATTAGACAGATGTTTTCCTTCTCTTCATCTTAGCTATTACTGTCAAGATCTTCCCAAGTGATCATTAGACGTCTTTTAGTCTTATTTTTGCTTGACCACCTTTTCCTAAGAGAGGGACAATCTACCTTTACATGCATGTCCATGTTTGTTACATTCATAATAAACAACGTCCTTACTCTCAAAAGATTAAGGCTTCTTGGATCTCCTTTTCCTTTTGGGGAAGCTCCTCAACCCTCCTTTCTCCTTCAACATGTTCTTGAACTTCTTGGGCATGAGAGAAATCTCATTGTCGTCTTTTAAGTCTTCAAATCTTTCATCTGAGTTGTTGGACTCAGACTTAGTTTTCAACGCTTTTCCTTTTTATATCCTCTTGTTGGATTTGCCACCCTTTAAAGTAATGATGTCATTTGCTTTAGGATGACTACTATTATTTAAGTGAACCTCATGACCTTGAAGAGCTCCAAGAAGTTCATCAAGACCGAACTCTAAGATCTCGTGCTTCAACAATGGAAGTGGCCTTTGGCTCCCAAATCTTTGGAAGACTATCAAAATCTTTAAATTATTCTGAGTTTTTGAGAACTCCGTTCCTAGAGATTTTAACCCATTTGGAATTGTTTGAAATCTTCCAAATATTTCATCAATGGTTTTGTTTTCCTTTTCGGAGAACAACTCATAGTATCTTTAAGGTGTGGTAGCTCGTTTGAGCATAACATCTTTAATGCCCTCATGAGTTATCATGATGGCGTCCCACATTTCCTTCATAGTTGAGTAGCTATAAAACTTGTTATATTCAGTTTTGGACAAGGAACAAGCAAGTATATATATCTTGCTTTAGTGTTTAGCTGCAAGGTGTTATAATCATCTTGAGTATACTGACTCTTAGGCTTAGTAACTATGATATCACCTTGAGTGATGATTCTCTAGAGTTGGTATTGGGTCGATTTGATGAACATCTACATTCTGTCCTTCTAGTTTGGATAGTCTTCTCCGTTGAAGGTAGGAGACCTTTGAGAGAAACTCCTTTTGGTAAGTATTGTCCTTCACTACTTCTTATTTGGATCTTTTTCCTTTAGCACAGTTAGATGTTCAACCCCATTAAAGGTTCAACTCTAATATAAAATTGTGGAGAAAAGACACACAATAGAAGGGGGTTGAATAATGTATATCAAAAACTCACACATTTTTGCAATGAAAAGAAAATAACTTATCAGATGAAATGCTAGAGAAGAGTTAAATGAAACACTAAGATTTTTATATTGATTTGTCTCAACCACCAAGACTACGTTCAGTTCTCAATCCAACCAGATTGAGTTTCACTAACTTTTAACAAGGTTACAAGTATTATTTTACCAAGCCACTTTTGGCTCAATCCTTGCCTCTTTAAGCAAGTACCCAAATATTCTTTGAATAACAAGCCTCTCCAGGCTCAACATCAAGTATTCTTTCAAACAAGCCTCTCCAAGCTTAATACCAAGTATTCTTTCAAACAAGTCTCTCTATGCTTAACACCAAGTATTCTTTCAAATAAGGCTATCTAGGCTTAACACCAAGTATTCTTTCAAACAAACTTCTTTAGGCTCGATACCAAATATTCTTTTAAACAAGTCTTTTTAGGCTCAACCCTTACAACAAAGGTAATAAATGATTATAAGATTTATAAGTTTACGACTTGTGTATAAGTGTACATTAACATATATGACTGCATATAAATTGTTCCTTCAATAAAAAATGATTCAATTTTTTCTTATATTTCTTTTAAAATTTAATCCATACATTACAAGAGTTATCAATCTATTAAAAATTTGGTTTGGTTTGACCTATTGTCATTTGTAATTATGATTTATTTATTTTTAGGTATGATTATGTGTTATCATATGTTATGATTTACAAAATATTTTTGCATTATATATTAAAATATAGTTCAACATGTTGTACTTATATATTAATAATATCATGAATTAAGTAAAAAAATTAATCCATAAATTACAAGGGTTATCGATCTAGTTACATTAAAAATCAAAAGCACAGTTCAATTTTTTAAATGTTAAAAATAAAATTGATATAAGAAAAAATGAATAATTATTTACCGAAAGTTATTTAAGTTTGTTTTTAATTAATTTACTTTAATTTCTATCTATTAAATTTTAACTCGTGGAAAAGTGAGTAGAAGGAAGCATTATTAAATTAAATTATTTAAAGTGCTGATTGCTTGCAAGCAAGAAACTGGGAGAGAGAAAAAGGAGAACCTTCTTTTCTCTCTGTTTTGTCGTATATTTCAGACCTAGAAACCCAACACACCGATTCTGAATTCAATTGCTTGTAATAGAAAAACACACGAAAATGGTGTCGGCGAACAAGGAGATGGTCGTGTTCTGCTTCGACACCCTCGTCGCTCACTACAACAGCGAAGAGGCTCCTCCTCCTGCCTTCGATCAGGCTCAACAGTAATAATCCCTTTCTTCTTTTGTCTTTTTGTCTTTTTTGTCTTTTTTTTTTTTTTTAATTTTTTTTATTGATGTAATATACGCATTTTGTATAAATTGAAACAATTTTGTCATGTTTCTGAACGTTTCTTGATTTTTGTTCTATGTATTGCTGGTTCGATTAAGTGATTCTGCAATGGGAATTTGCCAAAATAAAGTCTGGTTGGACAAATTTCATTATAAGCGCGTACTAAAGAACAAAATAAGAAGATAAAATGAATTGTGTTTCTCGGGTTAGTTAAAATCAACCTATACACTCAAGCTTTTGAAGAAGTTAGATGAGAGGACTTTTGTAAAAATTAACTGCACAAATTTTAATTATAGAAGAAGCTCAATTAATTTTACCTTCTCATTTTCTTCTCGTATAAGGGGCTTATAATAAGTTTATCCAAGTATGTTCAAGAAAGGAAAGATTTGTTTTTGCTTTAGTTAAGTCATAATTTATACCTGAGCCAAGTCATGAAAAATGTTTTTTTTTTTTCTCTTTTTTGGGAAGAGGGTGTACACACTTTGACAATTTCTTCACCGTGAAAGGGATTTATGTATAATTTTTCACTGGGAATATCCTTTTGGCAAAAAAGGCTCTACACTTGAGTCGACAATATGATATGATATGGTGTCCTTGTTTGAAGCCACTATATTTTGTTTTAGCCCATTGTTTGTTACATGGAAGAAAGTGGTGAATGGCGGAGATCCTCGTCTTCGGGGATGCATTGGAACTCTGGAAGCACGGAGCTTGATCAATGGTCTCAAAGATTATGCACTGACCAGGTTTGTTGATGTTACAGGATATCTTCTGTTTTGTCTATACAAATGCTACTTGCTTGCATTTTGTTGAACAAGTTTTTTTTTTTCATGTGTTAAATCAGTATCTTCCTAACTTGTATGTGTTTTGTGCTTGCTATATCTTGTAGTGCCCTCAGGGACCGAAGATTTCCACCCATACAGGCTAACGAGTTGCCGTTTTTGGAGTGTACAGTGTCTATTCTTGCTAACTATGAAACTGCTAACAATTACCTTGATTGGGAGGTATATGCTGATTTGGTTGTTTTAGTTTCTGGAATAATTATGGTAGAACATAACTGTAGAAATGTTATTTAACTGGTGCTTGCATAACTGCATTTGTTATGGTGTTAATTATGGCCATTTGTGTATTATATTTATATATTCTGCCATCTGATGTTGATTAATAATTGGAAGTAGATGGCAAAGCTGTAAATAGGGATTTTGTATCAGTCAGAAATGTTATAAAAAAAACCGTTATGGCGCCGCTATAAAGGAATAACGTGGTGTTTTGGAGCTTGATTGCCATTCATCATCTGTTCTTTTATTATTTTATGGCGGCATCCACTGTATTCATTTTTGCGCCCGCCATTGCCATGGCGCGGTCAGCTTATGGTGGAATATTTTTTTCATTTATTAAAAACCCATTTAAGGGTTTTTTCAGATAGCCCCCAAATATCACTTACACGTTTTCCTTGGTCTCTTGACTCGTTAACATTCACAAAGAAACCTAGGGTTTCTCTTCTTCTTTCTCTGTTTAACCTCCATACTTGTGGTCAATCAAGTTCGATGATCTCCCTCCGTCCACCCTCCTCACTGGCGGCCTGAACTCCCCAACGAATAGAAAAGATTTTTTTTTTTGGCATTTTCTAATATTCCTTCCATTTCTTTCTCTCTTTTTTTTTTTTTCCTACCTGTTCTCCATCTGTTCTACATTCTTCAGATGTTCCTCACCCTTTTTTTCTCTCTGCTTTTTCGTTCTGTCCCTTATTCTCTGTGTGACACTGATGGCTATAGATTTTCATCTCTTCAATGTTTAGCTCCCTGTTTTTATAATTTCAAATTGGTGTTCACTGTTTCTGTACTAAACATATATGTTATTCCCAATAATTTTTTCACTTATAGTGCAACGTCAAGTGCCCAAAATCAAAGTCATGCTTCCTTAGACATAGGACCAAAACATTTAATTAGTTATTTTTATGATTTATGTGATGAGATTATGAGACTGATGAATAACGACATTGTTCTTTTTAGATTTTAGTCTATGATTCTGCTGTTTCTAATATATTCATGATTTTCTAATTTATTTATTCTACTTTTAGTTTTATATTGTTTTTGTATGCCATGGCATTCACCATAGGCTGTCATGCCATCTGCCACAAGTTTATTGCTGATTTTCGGCTCACCGCCATAGGCCATTATGATGAGATTACTAAAGTTGACAAGTATGCTTTTGGGCAATTTTGAGATGAATAAGCCATATTTCACATGATATCTTCTTAAGTTTAAATTTAAAGGTACTTTTGTTGATTTTTTCCCTGGTATTGGTGGGTGTATTTGATATTACCAATAAAGTATTTGGCTTTTAACATTTGGGAACCACATAATGAGAATAGGTTGGAAACTGATTTTTTTTAATTTATAATAGAAAATTCCCCTTACTCCCACTGTCATTAGGTGAAAAAATGGAAGAGGTAGATCAATCCAAGGAATTGATACCGGAATAGAAATGAAATGGAAATAGTGGATAAACAGCACCTCGAGGGGCTGCAGTCTCCATTCCAACTACATACCTCTCCTCCCTTATTTTTCCCCTTTTCCCCTCTACATTTAATTAACTCACCAGTAACAAACTCCTGTATCTTTTATTATTCTGTTATTGTCCCTATTTCTACTCAATCAAACTTAAAAATTTCTGTTATGAGAAGATAGATCTAATTCTATCTTATTCTTGCTCATCAGTCATCACTGTTCTCCCTCTCCCTCTCCTTGCTCATGCGTTTGTTCTTCCTAGTGTATACATGTGGGTGATTGGAGGTCTAACATAACATTTTTGGGTCTTAAGAACCACATATTTGAATTTAAATCTGGTTGTATGTAAAAATTTTAAAGTCTGTTGTTCTTTTAAAGAGTTTGTGTAATTAATTCCTGCTCGGGTTGCCTTTTTTATTGCAACCATATATTTGAAGTGTGAAGATGGTTTCTGCTTTTTTTCATACAGTTTTTAAGGAGGAAGGGTTTTGTTTTCACTCGCAGAGGAATGTTATCAAATAACTGTATGGTACTGTCATAAAGATATAATGTGGCATTTTTGAACCCCTCTGCCATTTTCTGCCCGTTATTTCTCATTATATGACAGTTTCTGCCATATCCGCCATGACCATGGCATCATGGAGGAACTTCTCCTCATCCTTTTTTTTTTCTTTTTTTTTTCTCTCTCTCTCTTCTCTTGTCTTCTCTCTTGTGTTGTGACCAAACAACTCCACAGGCCTTCTTAGGTCACTACCCTTGCTGACGACCTGAACCGTGGTGGCTTGAGCTCCAGAAAGTTTTCTGGCAAACAAATCCAGCATGCATGTGATATTTAATGGAAGAATATTTATTATAAATAGAATATTAATTATAAACTTTAATATAAAATATTTTTAATGGAAGAATATTTATTATAAATTTAATATTATTCTATCATAACAAATTTTAACAGAACTCATGTATATCTTAAGCTTCTGGACTTATTTAGTTATTGATCATGAAAAAATGCTTAATATGCCTTTGTTAATTGTATATGCTATGTTTTATTGTTGATCATGAATCTTACCATTCACAATATGATACATGTGGAAAATAGGCTTTTTGATGCACGATACAATACCTGTGGGAAATAGGCTTTCTGATACATGCTACGTATCCCAATTCAACTATAATGGTGGTTAACAGTTTTTTTCTTGATAGAAGGAGAATGGGCATTGTTGGATGATTGATCATACAAGAAAAATATGATCATATTCATGAGTGGTTGTCTTATAGAAAATGTTGGAATGACATTGATTAAGTAAAAGATTTTAGAATCATACTTAAAATGGTTTGAAAAGTACAAGAAGACCAATAAAAGCCAGTTGGAATAGCTGATCAAATGGAGAACCAAAGTAAGAGGCAGAGGTAGACCAAGAAAAAATCTGGGAAAAGATTAAAATGTACCAAGTAGTAAACTACTTCCTTGAATTTGGTTTTGGACAGAACACAACAGCATTGGTTGATTCATGTAGTCAACCCCACTATCTGAGAAAAGACTTTGGTTGTTGATATTGTACTAGAAGAATGAGTTTTCTTCATGGTATTCAAAAAGACAAAGATCATTATGCATCAAAGAGTGTTGCAAACGTTAAGCAGAAGTCTAAAAGGTGGTCAGCCCAAGATATTAATACTCCATTACTCTCACCAATAAATATGGGACCACTATGATTGCTTCCAAAAGTTTAATTACATTTGAATGCTTAATAGTTTGATTTTGATTTGGTTCTTTGTCAGATTTTAATGAGTTGAGAGGAGTTGCTTCTGGAGAAAAGGAAATAGAACATACTATTTTCAGTATGTTTAAGAAAGTGCTTATTGTTTATATAACTAGAAGGTTTCTTTTCGTGACCCGTCATTTCTTATAAATTGGTTTACCAGATGCATTGCAACAATCTGATAGAAAACAGTAAGTTTTAGAAAGAGCAAGAAAATATTTAGAGATGATGTGAGAGCTTTCTATTACTAAGAAAGTAATGGATTGAATTGACTTACTAACTGTGTAACTTCTTAACAACCTAACAACTGTAATAATAACCTGGCTGAAAGAGTAAGTCTCGTAACAGACTCTAATAACCACCACAAGTAGTTACTATCATGTTCCCATCACACTCGAGGAGAATGTATCAATGAAAATTGGTTGGAGACTCTTAAGTTTGTCAGACAAGTCACAAAACCGTTCTTCTGAAAGAATCTTAGTGAGAAAATCAGCTAGTTTATCTTGAGCTGTTATGTGAGACCAAGGTTATTAATAATGGATAACGGCCGGCCTATAGCACTGAACCAAAAATCTGCCATAAACATATTGCATGGTGGATGATACCATACAATAGGAAATAATAAATCTCCACAATATCTTAACAACCATATCTTTGACATAAAACAAGTCATGTTCCATTTGTACCTTTCAGGTATGAATGATGAATGATAGTACCATTAAGGTATCTTTAAGGATACAATTTACTGCCTTCCAATGCTCCACAGGGGCTGTGAAAGAATTGATAGACCTTGTTCATGCTGTAACTAATATCAAGTCTTGTGAGAGTGGCATATTGCGAGGAACCTATAATGGACCGATAAAAGCGTAAATGCCTTTATCATCTGCCATGTTTGCCTTGGTGAGTGGGTCATTAATATGCTTGCTTTAAAAGAGAAACACTGCACTGTTGGAAGGTCTTGACCTCAATACCTAAGTAGTCCGGCAACAATGCACTAATGTAAACTCATTCTGAACTATAACATGGTAGAGATTATTTTTCAATTATGTTCTTGAAGAATAGTGAACTAATTCTGTTAATACTTTGATTGCATTTTATTTATTTACTGGGATTTTATTGATGATTTATACTGTTAAGTTGTTCTATCAATGTTATAATATTTAACTAAATAAGCTGTTTACTTGATTTATTTTTAATTGTTTATGTTTAGTCTTTCAAATACACAGATAATACTGTCTTGCAAGATAATATAAAATATTAGTTATAGGACACTATTGTATTTATGCTGTCTTTTGCACTTTTAGATTCCTCCAGTTTCTTTCTTGCAGATAGAAAAGCATGGTATAATTATTGAATTTTCTGATCCTGTCTATAAAACAAGGCGGAGTGCCACATACCTGCCTGAAGTTGCTGCCAATGAAGGTAACATATGTTCACTATTGAATATTGTTTCACTTTTTTGAAATATCATCAGAGTTACCATATTGAGATCAATGAGATGCCACAAATAAAAGTTGTCATAAGTTCTCCAACACCCTACTCTAAAATTCATTAGAAAGAAAGGAGAGAAAATTCTTGAGGAGGAAAAGATATACTCTAGTACATAAAAGCAATGTACCAGAGAACCCAATTATAATAACAAGAACAGAAGCACTACCGAATCTCTATCTGAAATGGTAATTACTACAATTCTTGTACCATAGCAAGTTGAGGGACAAAGAGGAGCAATTGCTATCTACCTTGGGTGGATACACCAACTATGTAAATTACATTTTAAAATTCTAATGGTTCACATATTGTTTTACTTAATGCAGTGAATCATGATTAACATTCCTAAGAGATAGCGAGGAATTGGAAAACTAATCCTAAAGGATAATATAAAATGTGATGCGATATTTTTGGACATTTATATATATTCTATATAGACAATTTGATTGATGATATGACATTTTTATAACAGAATAACTATGAGTGTTCGACTTGTAACATTTTAATCTTTAAAATATCCATTTTAAGTTGACTTAAGCGTCCAACTTCTGGGCTTATGCCTGTTTCTTGTATTTTTTTCCAACTGCATGATCTTGTAACCATTGTCTTCTTTAATTCCTCAAACAAATTTTTCTTTGAATTTCATTAATTTATGGTTGAAAAAGGTGGAAACGAACATGTATTCTTTGCTTATCTGTGTTTGCTTTCATTTCAGGTTGGACAAAAATAGAGGCCATTGATTCTTTGATACGTAAAGCAGGGTACAATGGTCAAATAACTGATGAACTTAGGATGCAATTACAGCTAACCAGATACCAAAGCACCTTATTTACCATGCACTATAGTGAATACGTCTCATATGTGAAGGAGAGAAGAGGTGAAGCTCCTATTCTTGCAGCTAAATCACCCAACTATTGAATTCTGCGGCCAACCTTTCTTAAAAGGCTGCATAATTTCTTTGCTAAAAGAAAGAATTCTATTTCCAAATGAATTAAAAAAAAAAAAAATCCACTTGCTTGGGGTTGGAACTAATTTGTTTTTCTAACCCGAACTACTGAAGTGATTGGTGCAACTTTCTGCTCTCAAACTTGTAATTGAAGAAACTACGAACATTGAACTCAGGTCTTGGGATTGTTGTCTATCATTCAATTCAACAGTTTATGAAAACTATTGCACTATTGAACTGATTTATGTCAGTCTTGTTGACAACAGGAATTTCAATATCCCCAATGTCAAAAAATATTTCTATTTGATTTCCTTTCTTGGAGACAGATTTGAACTTTTGTCCCAACTCAACAGATTGAGTTGCTCTCAAGGGGCGCTAGTTAGCCTAGTTCGGAAGATTGAATTGGGTGTACTTTTACAAAGTTGTACGGAGTTATCACCATTAGAACCAAATAACTGGTTTCAAATTATATGGAAGAGATGGGAAATGGTGAAATTAGGAGGTGAGAAAAGTTAAGCTGAAAGAGCAAGAGTCTAGCTACTGCAAATGGATGATGTGGGAAAGAAAACGTAGTTTTTTTTCCCAGTAATTACAAGAAACAACTAACCTTTAGTTACAGGTCCTACCCTTAATGTTTTCACAAGAAAAGTAGAAACCCTACCCTATCTGACATTATTTGTCTCATTTATGGTGACATACTTGGTTCAAAGACCAACTTTGAGTACTGTACCCTATAGTTAAATTCTATGTTGTTCAACGTATTTTAATTTTTCTTCTCTTTAAAACATTATTTTGATTTTTCTTCTCTTTAAAACAAAAGGTTGGGTTGAATAGAATTTCAACTAAGGAACCTTTAAAGAATTAGTTTTATGAACATCAGATTTCCTTTTCCATATGCAAATTTCAAGATTCAACGACACACTATCTATTATCTAACAAATTTTAGCTTAGAAGTAATTTTTAACTCTGGTTATAAAGTAGTTTTTAAATTAAAAGCGCCAGAGCTAATACATTGTGCTAGGCATGTTATTTAGTATATAAGAGAGGTCAAAATATTGCCGCCCCTAAAATAGAGATTAGACTCCTGCCTTAAATGTGAGCTATTTGCTATATAGAACATAGGTGGCTAATTTGAAGGCAATCTTGACAAAGAATAATACTTTCAACCCTAGTATTCACATGGATTTATGAGTGGTTAGATTAAAATGTGGTCATATCAAAGTGTGCGTGTTAGGTTGTAATTGTGGCTTTAAATTGGAGGGAGATAAGAGGAAACGTATTAGTCTCACGTTTTTGTTTGCCTTATAGTCATACATGCAACTTTTTAGTACTGGATTTGGCAATGGGTTTAAATGACAGGGACTCTAGCAACACTTGGGTCACTTATTATATCCACAATACTTCAGTGAACAGGGTGAGTCTCGTTGGGGGTGTTTGTATCGCACCATCTTCTACTCTGGGAAATATGAAAGTTGAACCCTTTGTTCCTATATTTAGAAGGTTATATAAAATGATTCTTGGGTATCCTTTATTTTCAGAAAAGTTGCATTTCCATGGTTCTTTTATCATACATTTCCATGTTTTAGGTAGTTTTATTTTATTTTATTTTTTTACTATAACAAAGGGTAAAAAAGTGGTATTCCACATGAATGAGTTTTTTTTTTTCTTTTTTCTATCATACTTTTAATTTTCATTTACTTATGTTCTATTCAAGTTATTTTATACTTTCAAAAATAAATTTAGAAATATTAAAATGTAACTAATTACCTATTAAAATATACTAAAAAGCAACATTCATAATTAAGATATTCTTAAAATTGTAAAATAATTTTAAGAATTGTAAAATCGTTCAAAATTATTTAAACCTTCTTGTCATTAGATTAATCATAATAACTTGTGAAATCTTACTTATGTGACACTTTTTACCTTGAGTACATTTATCATATACAAATAGAAAAAGGGTTATTTAAGTTTTGCCCAAAGGGAAATTACTAATTAACTTTCAAAACATTTTGCAAGTAAAAAAATTACACATTGCACAATTACAATCACATGAAAACTTTACCAAATTAAAAAGTGTTAATACTACAAAGGCCACTAATTCAACATCATAGTTTAGGATAAAATTTAACAAAAAATAGTTAATAAAATCATACTTCGATATCACATCTATCATGACGACAGAAACTCAAAACATTAATTAAGAAAAATAAGACATAGGTAGACCATTGCCAATATTTATAATGTCATTATAACTAATATAAACTGTCTTTTTTTTAACTGATTCAGGATATCTAAACTACAGTAGTGTTAGGCTTATGTCTGTGTAATATCCCAAAATTTATGCAGTATTAAGGATTATTTTGGTAACCCATTAATCCTACTATTTCTCTTGTGAGTTTGGTGGGTCCCGGGTAGGGTGTTTCTCTGATTATTTCATCAACTTTTTACAGCTAATCATGTTCTGTCTTTTAAGGATTGGCTGATATTCTTAACATATCCATCGCTTGCATTTCTAAGTATGAAACTATTTTTGTTTTGTTTTGTAGAATGGACACATTAAAAAAACATCTTCCTGTTTCTGGTCCTGATGGATTGCATGAACTTCGGAAGATTGCTCAAAGGTTTGAAGACAAGATTTTTACTGCTGCTATAAGCCAGGTACATTCATTTTGAGAATTGAGGAGCCTCCATTTCATTTATGGTTACCTATGGAAATGTATACAGTTAAAAAGATTGATGGCTTGAGACAGCATTGGTGTTCCCTCTTTGCAGCCTGATTATCTTCGGAAAATATCTTTAAAGATGCTCACAATGGAAAATAAATCCCAAAATACCTTGGGTAGCAATATGCCACCAAATCAAGTTGGCCCTAGCAATAAACCTCCTGATCAAGGTTAGCATTTAATAGCCTTGATTTGGTGATTATATTATGATATGGTACCAAAGTGTCAAATCCTAATTATTTGTGTATAAATATTGGAAACAGTGTATTCAGCTCTCCTGAACTTTGGGGCATTTGAAAACTACTACCACGATCTTTAAAGTTGTCTCAATTATTCCCTAAATTTTTGTCATTAATCTTTTAGATCTTTCCATTTAACCTTTTATTAAATCCTTAACGGACGTGCCATGTAGCAAATTTGAAGTCCTCCATTTCTATGTAATTGGTGCCTTTTTTAATGTATTTAAATTCTACTTTTCTAACTTACAAAATGCAAAGCTTGATAGCAGGAAATTTGTGACCAATATGCAAAGTTTAGCTTACAAAAATTAAAATCAATTTGTTTGACTTGCTGGAGGATCTCATTGTCAATGCTTCTGTACTTCACAGAGAGTAAAATCCTCATTTTGTTTCTATATCCTTACACCACGAAGCACAGTGCTCCAACTCAATCAAACCTTAGAGTGACTGCAGCATGTTGCAGCCAATGCCACCTTGTGTCACTGAAGAATGTACCAAAAAACAATGTTATCAAATAACCGTTATGACGCTGCCACAAAGGTATAATGTGGCGATTTTGATTTTGAATCCCTCTGCCATTCACTATCCATTATTTCCTGTTATATGGCAGTGTCTGCCATATCCACCATGGCCATGGTTTTGTTGTGCTTATGGTGGAACTTCTCGTCCTTTTTTTTATTCTTTTCTCGTCTTCTCTTTTGTGAATCTCCTAAGTTGCAACCAAACAACTTTGGTAAGCCTTCTTAGGCCACCACCCTTGCTGGTAACCTAAACCATGGCGGCTTGAGCTTTGGAAAATTTTCCGGAAAACAAATTCGGCAACCCATAATAGTTCCTTTTGTTTTTCTTTTCTTCTTCCTTCCATTTCTTTCTTTTTTTTTGTTTGTTTTTCATCTTTTCATCATTTCTTCAAATGTTCCTAATCCCTTTCTCTCTTATTCTCTATGTGACTGTTCTTGTTCTTCATCTGTTCAATGTTTTTGTGCTCTGGTTTTTCAAAATTTTGGAATTTAGTTCTCCATTTTTTAGAATTTCATTATCATGTTCTCAGTTATGTTATTTTCTTTATTAAACCTATAATGTTGTTCCCGACATAGTAGTCAATCCCGGATAGCGGAGCGGAGCGGTCGACCCTAAAAATGGGATAGCAGGATGACACGGAGCGGGATAACCGCTATTTTAATATTAATTCATATATATTAAATAATTAATAATATATATATAAAAGCTAAAAAAACAAAAAATAACTCTAAATTCATGCATTAAACATTTTTAATAATATGCTAAATTAAATTTAATCAGAAATTAAAAATAAAATTTTCTGAATTAAATTTAATCAGAAATTAAAAATAAAATCTACTGAATTAAATTTATTCAGAAATTAAAAATAAAATCTGCTGAATTAAATCTAATCAGAAATTAAAAATAAAATCAGCTGAATTAAATTTAATCAGAAATTAAAAATAAAATTTGCTGAATTAAATTTAATCAGAAATTAAAAATAAAATTTGCTGA